GGGGGGGGGGGACACCCTGAGGTAGCCTCAGGATGGGGTTGGTCACCAGACTAGGGGGCTGGAATTTTCAACCCTACCCAATGACCCACCCACCGACCTCTGGAGCGAGGAGGGAGTGCCTAGAGACTGGGTTATCAAAACTCCTGAACAGTCATACGTGGAGAATGTCTGGGTTGAAGAATACTCAAGGGCTGAGTGTGGGAAGCCACAGGAGGGCATGGAAGCCTGTGCTCCTTCCCCCATTCCTTGCCCTATGCAGCTCTTCCATTGGCTGTTCCTGAATTGTATCCTTTCTAATAAACTGGTATTAGCAAGTAAAGTGTTTGCAGGAGTCCTAGCTGTGCTAGCAATTTTTTCTAACCTGAAGGTGGGTAATGGGCACCCCATTTGCAGCTGACATGAAGAGAGCAGCCCAATGTGACTGATCCCTTAATCTGTGGGGTCTGTGCTAACTCTGGGTAGTTACAGAATTGAACTGGATGGTTGGACACCCAGTTGGTGTCAGAATTGGTTGGTGTCAGAAGTGTTATAAAAACAGCTCAGCTCTGTACACCTGAAATAGCCTCTCACCATCTTTTCTACAATTTCCCCCCACTTTTGACGTTGCACTTGAAGACTAGAGGCAGTAATGCTCAACTGAGAGCTTATTCCTCTGATGTGCACTAAAGCCCCTGGGGGTGAGGCTTGGAAGGGAAGGGCATTTTCAAACCCTTTCCTTACTACGTAAGCGCAAGTCCTGGTTCTCAACATTGGCTATACATCAGGAGTTTTTAAAATTCCTGCCATTCAGATCAAGCTCCAGACCAACTCTATCACGTCTCTGGTAGGGGGACTCAGGTACTGGTATTTTTTTAAAGCTTCTCGGTCGGTAGTTTCGATGTACAGCCAAGGTTAGGAACAACTTACCTGAGTGGTGGCCCTGAGACCAGTTAAATCCATTCTGCCCTATGGAGACCTAGCCTGTTACCTGGAGCTTACTGTATTTGCCAATTGTGTATGAAAATGAACTTGAGATCATGATAAATCGAATGCAGGATGTGAATGAAAGTCTTTTGGAATATTTAAAGAGAGTTTAAGACCTTTTATTTATAATTGTATAAGCATTTAAGAAAGAAATCAATAAAGGCTATTGCCTGTGGTGCCTCAGTCCTGTGTCCTGCAGTGTGCGTGTGATTTCCTGAGGTGGAGGTGGAAATTCCTTGCCCGGGTGGGGCCCTACTAAGCATATGTGAAANTTAAGACCTTTTATTTATAATTGTATAAGCATTTAAGAAAGAAATCAATAAAGGCTATTGCCTGTGGTGCCTCAGTCCTGTGTCCTGCAGTGTGCGTGTGATTTCCTGAGGTGGAGGTGGAAATTCCTTGCCCAGGTGGGGCCCTACTAAACATATGTGAAGTATTACAATTTAAAACAGACAGGGCATCATTGGATTATTTTAATTTTATAAACAGAAAGACTTTCAATCAGAGCATCTCTCATCTGGCATACTTAGACTTATTCCTGAGCGGGTTACAGGTGTACTGAGATGTTGATTCTTTCTCAGCCCTCTCCCTTCAGCCGGGTGAGCTGAAGTCTACCCTTGCCTTTTGGGATGTATATCCTGACATTAGAATTGCTGCTTCAGATGGTAGGAACTGTCCAGTCCTTTGCGATGCTCTGGGGAGGGAGCATGGCTGTCTTTCGTACAGCCCAGAGCACCTCTGGTTCTCTTGTGGGCAGTGCCCAAGAGCAGTTGAGTTTACAGCATCTT